ATCTCTAAACAGGGAGGGTCAGGGACTCATTAGCAGATGCTTAAATGTCAAAGGGAGCTGGGCTGAGGGAGTCTTCCCTCCTCCCCACGCTTGCAGTCTGGCCTCCAGAAGTCTAGCAGGCAGGAGAAGATCCCCTGGGGAGATGCCAGGTTAGGGACTCTCTTTTCCCTCACCTCCCTTTCCAGTTAAGTCTGAAGGCAGCCAGCGAGGGGCAGCTTTGCGGACCTTTGCCTGCCCCCTTCCACTGTCCTCACAGCTCCCGAGGCCCATTCGTGTCCATCTCGGAATGATCCGTCAACGTTCACGGCCCCGTTTTAGAGATGGGAACACTGAGGCCCCAAAAGGAGAGGAAACGTGCCCAAGGTCGAAGGGTGAGGAAGGGTGGAGCTGCCAGGGTGGACGTTTGGAGGTACAGACGCTGCATCCCAGGGAGGAGAGGCCAAGTAGGGGCCGGAGCTCGTGTCTGCTGGCCGCTGGTCTGAGAGCAAGGCCAGCCCAGCGTCTCGGGCCTGTGACCGGTGTCGGCATCCTGCTGAGCCTTTGGGTTTAGGGAAGGTTTCGCCTGCACCGTTTCAGGCTCCCCACCTCTTTAGCTCCCCCGCTCCCTGCCGTTTCAATGCGGGGAAACTGAGGCCTGGAGGACCACACGGGGGGGTCAGCAGCATCCCGACCGCTCCAGCCACCACCACAGCTGCTCCTCCCCAGCCTGGAGCCGGACACGGGCGAAGCAGAGGAGCGAGCGCTGGGCGTGTGCAAGCCCGCGGCAAGTTCTGGAAATGAGCCGTTTAACCAAACTCCGGATGTCGTGGCTGGACTGGCCTCCGCCGTGAACAGCTTCAGGCTACTGGGAGCCAGGTGGTAGGAGTAATCATTGGGGCGCCTTTGGCCGCTGAAATTTAAAACGGCCGCTCCTCAACTCCCCCCCTCCACCGTCTCACTGCCCGGGGGAATAATTCCTTACACACGCACACACGCTTAGAAAGTGGCTCACACTGTACGTGCCCACACACAGCTGTAACAGAGCTATAGGGTTATGCGGTTTTGAAACGCGCTTCCCTCTTTCCCAGGGGCTCACATTTGTCTCCGAGGTCATCCTCAGCGAGTTGTTGTTTTTGCCAATGGCAGGTCCTCAGGTTGGTCACATAACCTCCCCTCTCTGAGCCCTGCTTCTCTCACCTGTAAAACGAGAGGTGGCTACGGACCTTGTAGAGTCTCCAGGATGCTCAATGAAATGATGTTTGTAAAGCTCTCAGCAGAGTGGATCACACATGGTAGGTGCTCAATAAATGCACCTACTCAGGGCTCCTGGTTTTGACTCACGCTCCACCAGCAGCGTCCTTTGTTTTACGTGAAAGCCGTGCTTCTAGAAAGGTTCGTACGACTCGAATTTGAGAACTGAACCCGATTTTAAATGGGTCTCAGGAGCCTTTCAATAAACTTGGCAGGGCCCACTTTTTTTCTTTCGTTTGTCTTTTTTACATTAAAAAAAAAAATACATATTTGCTGTAGAAAAAAATAGAAAAATTTTACAAAAAGATGGGAATAAAAATTGCGTGTAATCCTACTCTTATCAGTCAGGAGTTCTCCAGGGAAACAGAACCAGAAGATTCGACAGAGGGATAGATGATAGAGATATTTATATTTATTTAAGGAACCGGCTCACGTGACTGTGGGGCTGGCAAGTCCGAAAGCTGTGGGGCAGCTCAGAGGCTGGCAGTGCTGGCAGGAGTTAATGCTGCAGTCTTGAGGCAGAATTCCTCCTCTGAGAAACCTCAGTTTTGCTCTTAAGGCCTTCGCCTGATGAGATGAGGCTCACCCATTCCTTTGAAGGAAGCCTCCTTAAAGTCAACTAATTGGGATATTCCCAAGTGGGGGTTATTTTAAAGGGAGTCCCTCTCACATATCAGTCCCTTGCAGCCTGTGGGTGCTCAGCACTGGATGGGCAGAGACTCCCGAGGCTCAGGGTTTCCCCCCTGAAGCCCTGGATGATGGGAGGAGAGGGCTTCCCTGATGCTGTGAGGAGGGCAGGCAGGCCTGGCCTTTTGCTTCCTTCCATCCCCACGTGCTCAGCCCTCTCCTGATGCGATCGTGTGACCCCTCCCTGGCATCTCCCATCTCCCCACATGGGGAGGTGCCATGGTTGAGAATCAGGAGGTGAGGCATAGGAATGCTGACAAAGAAAAGGGGACAGTGTGGCCCAGTGAGAACATCTCAGCGACCTGGGTTGCTGACACAGATGCCGAGATTGAGCTGTCTAGCTCCTTAGTCTCCCTTTTGGTTCACTGTGTGATCTTGGGCAAGACTCTTGCCTTCTCTGGGCTTTCACTTCCAAGCGCTTCCGTCAGAAGGCGGTCCCCCCGGCTTAGACCTGACGACTCCTCTTTTCTCTGGCTCTCCAGATGGAAGCGCCGTCTTCCGAGGCTGCTTCCGCAGGCCCGACAACCTCTCCCTGGCCTTGCCCGTGACGGCCGCCATGCCGAACATGTCCGTGGACAAGTGCGTGGACCTCTGCACAGAGAAGGTGAGATGGGGGACTCCAGGGAGGCGCAGGGTAAGAGTTACACAGGGTCACTTTCTGTCCCTCTGAGGAAGTGAGTTTGTTCCAACAGTGAGGGATGCCCAGGAATGAATGAGACATTGGAACTGGGCCTAAAAGCATGAGTAGAAGATGCCAGGTAAAGGCAGGGACAGTCCCACCTCAGGACAGAGTGAGTTCCCCGTCACCGCTGAGAAAGAAACCAAACATACTCTGGCAAAATTCCCTGGACCCAGCCACATAGGTGTGACCTCCGTTTGTTACCCGATTACTCCCGGACCAGCTTCTGGAGGAAATTCAGGGCTGTGGGTCTTGAGCAGAAGCAAATTGGACAAAGGACAGTCCCCTGCCCCTCAAACCTCAGGTCCATCCTGCTCCCACTTGGCAGTCCCATAGAACAGAGAGCAGTTAGGAGCTGCTCTCCCAGCGAAGACTGTGAGACACGTGGGCCCCAGCCCCCTCTCTGGCCTAAAAGAACGGGTCCAGCCGGCTTCTCCGGAGGCGCGGGTATTGTCTCCCTCTCAGACGGGGGCACGGACCATCGCGGGGTGCACACCGTGGGAAAGGCGCTTCTTTCTCAGTTTTCTTTCCAGTCCTCCAGGAGCAAGCTCTTCTCAGTGCTAAAGTGTCTTTCACGCCTCTCCACCCTCAACTAATCTCCCTTCTGCAGGAAAAAGGGAGCCGACACGGGGCTCGGTCTTGGCAGGCAGGGCGCCTTGGCAGGAATTTAATTACACTCTTGCGTGTCTATAGTATTTGCGTTTAGAGTATGGAAACTGTGGCAGCCTGAGCGGTGCACAGGTGCCACTTGTGGGAGTGATACAGAGTTTCCCTGGAATTTAAGTCCAGGTGAGTTGATTTAAAGGAAACAAACAAGCAAATAAATAAACAGAGTCCAGGGAAACAAAAAACAGTCACTGTGTAAGGTGGCGGGGGTGCTAATTAGCTTGATTGTGATGATTAATTCACCGCGTATATGTGTATCCAGACGTCAAGTTGTACACCTTAAATATAGATACTATTTTTGTCTGTCAGTTACACCTCAGGAAAGCTGGAAAGATACAGTGGTGCAGGAGGTGCACGGATGGGGCGACACTGTAAAAGCTGGAGTCACTGACGAAGTTCGGGGACCCGCACGTTGGGAAGAGGGATGGAGACGGGAATCCCAGGCAGTCCAGGGATTTAGCGGCTTCCTTCCTCTCCCTCCCCCTCTCCCACTCCCTCTCCCCCCCAGGAGTACCCACTGGCGGCCCTCGCGGGCACCGCCTGCCACTGCGGGTTCCCCACCACGCGATTCCCCCTCCACGAGAGGGAAGACGAGCAGCTCTGTGCCCAGAAGTGCAGCGCGGAGGAGTTTGAGAGCTGCGGGACGCCCAGTTACTTCATCGTGTACCAGACGCAGGTGCAAGGTAAGCCAGGCCTCCCCCGGCGCCCCCGGGCTCTCCCAGGGGCCTCCCTCCCAGAGGTGCCCGTTTCACACAGCCCAAACCGCAGAGGGCAGAGGGCAGAGGGCAGAGGGCAGGGCTGGTGCACTTGGCCAGGCTTAGAGATCCTGGGTAGGCCACAGAGAGAGGGCCCTGGGTAAGGCGGGTGGGTTCTAAGGACCCTCATCTCTGTCCCTCATACTGAGGACCCCTTTGGTGGCTCTTTTCTTGAAATGGAGACAATGACCTTGAGTGGGAAGCCATCCAGGCTGGGAGGGGGAGACCTGGGTCTCTAACACAGACCCACTGCCTGACGCTGCGTAAGTCACAGCAACCCTGTGAGGGAGGAACCATTTCCCCCATTTTACAGATGGGGAAACTGAGGCCCAGAAGAGGTTCCATCGTGTGCACTGGGTTGAACAGCTGGGAAGTGGCAGGGGTGGGGCTTACACCCAGGCTTCATCTGTCCGTGCCCTTTGCAGACAACCGGTGCATGGACAGAAGGTTCCTCCCAGCCAAGTCCAAGCAGCTCATCGCTCTGGCTAGTTTCCCAGGGGCCGGCAACACGTGGGCTCGCCACCTCATCGAGCTGGCCACCGGCTTCTACACCGGCAGCTACTACTTCGATGGCTCCCTCTACAACAAAGGTGAGGAGGCTGCCCGGGAGGGCATGGGAGTACCCTTCCTGAGCACCTACTGTGTGCTGCTCAGCCCATCGAAGCATGTTTCTGGAGACCTACTATGTGCTTGGTGGCTTCCCTTCACTCATATCCCACAAACATTCCCAGAGCATCATGTCCTGGGGACTGCACCGGCATCTGTTCAATAATGGACATTTATCAAGTCCATACTATGTGCCTGGTACCTTCCCTCCATTCAGATCACTGCAAACGTTCCTTGAACACTTCTGCAGCTGAGAGATGCTTACCTTCATGAAATCCTCAAACCCTGATGGGCCCCGGAGCATGGGGGAGGGGAAGGGAGGGGGGACACAGTGCCAAAGGAGGGGTGACTGCTGGATCTTTTCGCAAAATCAGTTCCCATCACAGTGCCTCGCACATAGTAGGTGCTCAGTAAACACATGAGCAAACGAAGGCGGTAACAGGTGCATGCCTGAGGCTCCCGAAGGGGCCCAGCAGGGGGCACGGTGGGCTTCGCGCCCGCCTGCTGACCTGTGCGCCCCGGCCCGGCTGCGGGAAGGGTTTAAGGGCGAGCGGGACCACTGGCGCAGCGGGAGGACCATCTGCATCAAGACCCACGAGAGCGGCCAGAAGGAGATCGAGGCCTTCGACGCCGCCATCCTGCTCATCAGGAACCCCTACAAGGCCCTCATGGCGGAGTTCAACCGCAAGTATGGCGGCCACATCGGCTTCGCGGCGCACGCCCACTGGAAGGGCAAAGGTACT